ATGCTAGTGCTACTAATATCATGTTTTTTCCCTCGATCTCGGCACTCGCCCCCGGGCTCGCGGAAAATGGATCCGCCACGGGAGAATTTTTCCCGGGGAAGCGGTCGGGGCCCTTGGGGCCGCGGATGGATGAAATCAGACCGTCGGATGTCATGGGAGGCCATGTTTTAGGCTGTTTTTTGGCCCCCTGGGGCCCTCGCTGGATTTCGGGGGCATCAAGGAAGGACCCAGGATGCAAGGGTCATCCCTGGGAAGGGGTCTAGACCTCAGGAGAGCCAAGTCGTGAGAAAATCGCGACGTGGGATGTTTGAGTGCACGTAAGAATGACCCTTCGCCAGGGTGATCTTTGGTGCGCGGCTCTCGGTGGGCGCGGCCGGGCCAGCCCCAGGTACGCAGGACGCTGCTGACGCATCGCATGTAGCGAGCGGCAATCTGCGCACCACAAGGCACTCTTGCCCGTAGGGCCACTCTTTCGTGCAGCACGATCGTGGGGACCGACATAGGGACAGGAACAACGAGGACGAAGGCTGGTAGCAGCTCCTGTCCACTTTGAGTAGGGTTCGCTGTCGGTGTCGCCGCCGCCGACGAAGTCCGTTGGGTACGCACGCCGCCCGGCCACCAGCGGACGCGGTCGGTTTTGGACAACGCTCGCTGGTGGGCATCGTCCCCACTCTGTCAGTCTCCATATCTCAGGAGGGGAAAAAACACAGACACAATTCATCGTCGACTCCCCGGAAAATATGGGAAAATATGGGAAGTGGGGGGGAAGACAGAAACCCATAAAATATGAGAAAATATAGGGAATCTTGTTATTTGTGTGTGTGTGTATATATATATATATATATATATATGTGTGTGTGTGTGTGTGTGTGTGTGTGTCCCAGGGCCCCTTCAATGTCGAGCGTGCCGATCGGAGGCCGGCCGTGTCCCGGATCCTGACCCCCAGGCGACCGACGCGCCCCGCTGGGCCAGCGGCGACGAACACGGGGCGATCTTGCTCATGGGGGGTGTCTGGGGAGGCGCCCCCGACGTGGGCTCGGGCGCCCCACCATTCGGGTGCTGCTAGAAGTACCCCTGGCCCAAGGTGCCCCCAGCTTTTCGCTCCATTTTGGAGCCCCTGGGGCCCTCTGGGCCTCGTGAGGGGTGGTTTGGAGGCCTTCTGGGCTACCCCGAGAATCCTGGGGGCACCTTTGCCCAGGGGCACTTCTAGCAACACCCGAACCATGCCCATGAGCGCGCAGTGCTGCCACAGGGAGCCCATCGCCGATCCACGGGCGATGCCAGGCGGCTTTCGGGGGCCGCGGGTAAGCAAAAGCCAAGAGAGCCGGCCAGGTACGCGGGGAGACCCCCGCAAAAACGGTCACTCCGGCGAAAGGTCACTTACGTGCAGCCGAGTCTTCGACACTTTCGCGCCTGTGGATCCCGCGCTGGTGTCCGCGTCGCCGCGGACGCCGGCGAATGCCACAAGTGGGCCCCGGTTTGGCTTGGCAGCGGCGCCGCCGGCCCACTGTCTCCCCTTTTTGGCTTCTGCTCCCAGTCAGGCCGGCGCCTCCCTGGGTCACCCGCAGGGGCGCGCAGCAGACCTGCGCTCCACGCCTCGCGGCCTGTTTTTGGGGAGCCGTTATTTGATGTTTCTGCTGTTTCTTCTGTTTCTCCTGTCTCGTCTTCTTCGTCGGCATCGCCTGATCCTTGGGCTTTGCCCCCTCCTGGCCTTGACGTGAGGCTCCTCCCTCTCCCCTCCTTCTTTGTTAATTCAAGCTGTGCGCGGCCCGCTTAGCTTCGACCAGAAGAGGTGCGCTCTCGACCCGCGAATCAAAAAAGTTTCGTCTGCTTCTTCTTCTTCTTCCTCTTTTTCTTATTGTTCTTATTATTTAATCGCTTCGCTCATTCCGCCGGCCCATACTGTAGCATCGCTGGCACTTGCTTGCGTGCTTGGGGGGGCATGTGGGGGGCCTCCTGGGGCCGCTTGGGGGCCTCTTGGGCGCCTCTTGGGGGCCTCCTGAGGGCTCTTGGGAGCCTTTCGGGGGCCTCTTGGGCGCTCCTGGGGTCTTCTCAGGGCCGAGGGCTCGAAATATCCGTACGGGTCTCCAGTCTGGACCCCCTCTTGGAGCCGTCTTGGGCCTCTTGGACTGTCTTGGAGGCCTCTTGGGTCGTCTTGGGGCCCTCTGGGGCGGTTTTTGGGCCCTCTTGGGGGCCTCTTGGGCCGTCTTGGGGCGATCTTGGGGGCCTCTTGGGCCGCTTTTGACGTTGTGAAACTCAAGTGGCAAACATGTTAAACATATACGCTTTTCTTACGGAATTGGACGATTTTTGCCTCTTGGGGCTCTCTTGGGACGCCTCTTGGGGGCCTGTTGGGGCGTCTGGGAGCCATCTTGGGCGTCTTGAAGCGAGCGTGTGGCATCTCGGAGCACTCTTGAACCATCTTGGGGAGCTCTTGGCGGCCTCGCGGCCCTTCTTGGGGCTCTCTGGATGGCCTCGAGGGCGGCGCCCAGGAGGAAAA